GCGCTGGAAATCCGACACCACCTGAAACCAATTACCAGCAAGCTACAAGCTGCTAATATACGTTATAGATGGCTGCCTTCGGGAAAGCTTCAAGTGCAACAGAATGGGAAGGCGTACCTTGCGGCAGACGAAGAGACAGGATTTCTAATGTTACAGGCGCTAAAGATTTCAGATGAAGCTGAACGAAGGGCTTATAAAAGAAAACTTCTTTCAGCTACCCCAGAAAAAAGCCTGAAGTTACCGATTCGTCCAAACACGCCCCTGGAAGCGGAAGATACAGTGGACGACCAGGATATGCCAGAATAAACAGATTTTAAAAGGGACCCTCTTTTTTATGTCAAGGAGAGTTAAAACACGTATTGTTATTGTTATATGGTCCCTATTGGAGTTAAAGTATATTAATATTATCTGCCTTTGTTGATAAGTAGTCGGGGTAGGGGAGGGGGGGGAGTGAGCTCGCTGGCTCCAGTTGAATAGGACGTGTCTGGAGGCTGACCGGGAGAACGAGGAGGGGAGGTTGGTCGTTTTATTTCCAGCACACTCAAGCTTAACTGATTTTTTATAAGGTGCTTGGGTACTCTGATTTATAGGTGTGGTGTTTAAACTGGGCACTTCAGAGTGTTTATTCCATTCAGGCTTGATTTGATCTAGAAGCCACTGGTTTCGGGCTTGGGGGATGTTTTTTGGCGGTCCACAGGATCCATAAAACTCTCCTCCAACACCACATTTCAAAGGAATCTACTTTCTTCTTCTGAAGAAGAAGAAGAGATTGGATTTATATCCCACCCTTCACTACCGAAAGGTGTCTCAGAGCGGCTTACAAACTCCTTTCCCTTCCCTTCTCCACAACAGACACCCTGTGAGGTAGGTGGGGCTGAGAGAACTCTTGACAGAAACTGCTCTTTTTCAAGAACAGCTGTGCCAGAGTTATGGCTTGCCCAAGGTCATCCAGCAGGTGCAAGTGGAGGAGAGTGGGGAATCAAACCCGGTTCTCCCAGATTAGAGTTCACGCACTTAACCACTACACCAAACTGGTTCTCAGAACGTTCTTCCTATCAGCTTTCTTCATTGTCCAGCTTTCACGCCCATACAAAGTAATGGGGACTTCTGTGGCACAAATGAACTTGGCCTTGGCCACCAGTGACACATCCTTACACTTAAGGATCTTTTCTCGTTCCTGCAGGGCTGCCCTTCCCAGGATTTCTTTTTAGGAACACGCAAAGCTGGAATCCACCCAACCCCCTCGGCAGGCTGGGGCGAAGGCCGCAGCGCAGATTCATCTCCGCCTCGTTTCTGCTTTTTCCTAAACGTCTGAATCGGTCCTAAACCAATCTAATGCGGATAACAGGGGAGAAAGGGGAACGGCAATACGGCCAGGATTCGCTGACAAAGCGTCTCACCGCATGCAACTTCCAACTGACATGTGTAACCTATTCGCTGCCAAGTCCCACGTGCGCCCACCAAACCTGGATTCGCTTGGATCGCATCCCAAGGCAAAATATGCAATGGGTTGCACTGCAGGTGTTACCATTCGAGAACGGCCGGATCCTCCAGAGACTACCGCACGGCTTAGATTTTGGCCAGTCACACTGTTGATAAAGAATCTAGGACCAGGAGCAATATCAGAGGAAAAAGGAGGATAGCCCCTCCACCCTACCCCACACACAAAGTGTTTAGCAGTTACCATCCTTTCCTTGCCGCCTTCTGGCCATGCAAAGCAGAAATCCAACAGATGCATCGGCCTCAAAAGAAGATCCGGCAGCTCGGCGTCTACACAAGAAGACATCGTGGCCTTTGTTCCGCAGGTTTTCCTCGAGGAGGGAAATGCGATTATACAAAAGCATCACCACTGATATTTCTGCCCGTCATGCACCTGCTAAGGGTACAGGAGACCTGCTAAGGGTGCGGGGAAAGAGCGGCGTTCCCGATGGAAACTGCAACGCCGCACATCTACACAAGTCCCCCGACTCCTTCTCAGAGAGCTCTAGCCATGCAAACTTATCCTGTTCCCCTCGTCGCTCTCCCCCGCCTCACGATCCCACTTGGGCTCTTCCACCGCTCCTTCCAGGAGACAGCTACAGAGGACAGTACCACTTGTCACCTGCCATAGGGATGTTCCTTTCCGATTCCATTACGATCTCAGACCTGGAAAGAGTCTATTGGCGAATACCAAATGAATTTCCGGGGAGGGGGGGGGGACAAGGACCATACCATGAATCGGAGACTCGGGATGGGTAAGGCAGGGAGTTTTTAAAAGCTACAGAAGCGTTGTTGTTGTCGTTCAGTCGCACCGTCGTAGCGTAGGAGGGATATAATTGGTGTTGGAATAGGTTGGTTGGTCTCTCTGGAGCGCCTTATTTGGAAACTCAGAAGGATCAAAGGAGTCTTGTAGGACGTTATTTATAGCCTGCGATCTCTTTTTCCTCCTGCCAACCTAGCAGTTCGAAAGCGAGACATTGCAAGTAGATAAATAGGTACCACTTCGGTGGGAAGGTAACAGCTTTCCGTGCGCCTTGGTGTCTAGTCATGCCGGCCACATGACCACGGAAACGACTTCGGACAGCGCTGGCTCTTCGGCTTTGAAACGGAGATGAGCACCGCAACCCTAGAGTCGGATTCGACTGGCTTTCGAGCAAGGGAACCTTTACCTTTACCTATCTCTTTTTCACTATATGCAAGTTACTGGGTGGTGTTTTGTTTTTTTAATTGCAGCACAGTAAAGCAATAATAATAAATTCTGGGGAAGTCAGGAAGCTGTTTTCGCTGAGGTTTTCAGCCTTAGAAGGAATCCCGGATATATTAGTTTTTATGAGCTGTCCCTATGAGATTCTAACAGACCTTCCACAGAATTAGTTTCCCCTGTTCCTTGGAAATAAGATGTTCCTGGGGGGACCCCCAAAACTCTGCAGTTTGCGGGTCTGTACATGCTTAAGGTAAAGGTTTCTGGGGGGGGGGGGACCCCCAAAACTCTGCAGTTTGCAGGTCTGTGCACGCTTAAGGTAAAGGTTTCTCTTGCTCGAAAGCCAGTCGAATCCAACTCTAGGGATGCGGTGCTCATCTTTGTTTCCAAGCCGAAGAACCAGCGCTGTCCAGAGACGTTTCCGTCGTCATGTGGCCGGCATGACTACGCCAAGGCGCACGGAACGCTGTTACCTTCCCACTGAAGTGGTACCTATTTATCTACTTGCAGTTTCTTGCTTGGGGGGGTCAACAGTGGGAGGGCTTCTAATGTCCTGGCCCCACTGGTGGACCTCCTGATGGCACTGGTATTTCTGGCCACTGTGGGATACAGAGTGTGTCATACGGGGGCCACCTCAGCAGCATATAAGGATACAGAGCCCACCATTTTCTCCAGGGGAACTGATCTCTGCCACCTGGAAAGCAGTTGTAATTCTGGTAATCTCCAGCCCTCACCTGGAGATTGTACACATTTTACCTCAGAACAGCAAAACTGTTTAGAATGTTAGAGGCAAAAGCCAATCAAGTCGCATATGCAAACGACCTCTGTGTTCCGAGGCAGAGTCCAATGAGGCTGCATATGCAAATATCATATAGTGAAAAGCTTCATTCTTCCGAAATTCCTATTCCTTTTTAGGGCGCTCCCTTTATTCATAACAAGGAAGGACTTTAATACTTGGCAAAGCTTTCTGACGCGATTCCTTTGGAGTGGTAGGAAATCAAGACTGAATCGGAATGTGTTACACAGACCAGCATGCCGGGGGGGATTGGATTTTCCACTCCTTTCTTCTTACTACCAGGCGTCTATCTTGTCTCATATAGCTAAAATGTTACACATAGATCATAACAATCCGTGGATGCTGATAGAGTCTGAATATTCTAAGCCATACAGTTTACAAGAGATTTTCTGGACATCGCGGGCGTGCAGACCAAAAGCTATAAATCACAATGCTCTCCTCGCAAACTCGCTTAAGATTTGGGATCAAAGAAAAAGACTCCTTTCCCCGGATATTTCAGTGCTATCGACATACACACAACAACACTGGTTTCCGCAGGGTATGGTTCCTGCTGCTTTTGAGCAATGGAGGTTGGCGGGTTTAGGGCGACTCTGTGACCTGGTGATGAAAGACAAGATGCAAGATAAAATATTTTTTGATCAGAAGATGAATGGCCAGACCCCTTGGTACCAATACCTACAATTAAGAGACTTAATTGAGCAACTCGCGGAGTCAGGACTTTTTCAAAGGGGAGTGACAGATTTGGAAAAGGTAATTTTGAGGTCTGCAAGCTCGCCAAAGGGGGTGCTTTCCAGAATATATAAAATTTTGATAAAAGAAGATAGTGCAAATAAATTAGCTTACCAAAACAGATGGGAAGAAGATCTTAACCTAACCCTTCAAGATTCAGATTGGGCGGACATCTGGGCCTCTCCAGCGAATAAATCCTCTGTGTACAACGTTCGTCTTCAGTTCTTCAAAATAACATCTCGCTGGTACTTAACTCCACTACAGTTGCATAAAATTAAGCCGTCAATAAGCAACACTTGTTGGAAACGGTGCGGACAGATAGGGACTTACCTCCATTGCTGGTGGGGCTGTCAAGGAATTCAGAATTTTTGGAGAGCCGTGGTGTCACAGATAAATGAGATTACTAGGCAAGCATTACCATGTACCCCGGAAGTGGTGCTGCTAAATATATGGGATGCTGCGATGACAGGAGGCAGCAGAGACCTCATTGCAACGTTACTTGCCGCAGCCAGGTTGACAATTGCTGCGGCTTGGAAATCCCCCTCTCAACCCACTATTGCAGTTTGGCGAGAGAAAGTTTGGGACCAGTTTATAATGGCAAAAATAACAGACTCCCTGAAGAGAGCTAATAACTGTAACACACCAACCTATACCAAATTTGTTAGAGTTTGGGCTCCCGTGCTAGACTATATGATAACAAATGATTTACTCCCGGCTAAGCAGATCTATCATAAGTGGTTGTATTTATAGGGGAAAGCGGATAAATTTAAGAATTGTCAAACGTACGGTATCCCGATGGTGCTGTAGGGTGTCGGAATGTCATTAAATTGTAAGTAAGAATTTCATGATGCTATGTGTAGAATTGTAGAAGTATTAAGTTCTGTCTTAGGTTACTCTTTTACAAAACCAATAAAAAGATTATGGAAAAAAAAAGAAAAAGAAAAGCAGGGTATAAAGATCTAAATAAATGAACAAACAGAGCAATTCTCTGGAGAGGTGACATATTAATTCCCATAATAATGATGATACCAACAGGAAGTGGTGGCAGCTACAAGCATGGACGGCTTCAAAAGGGAATTAGATAAGCATATGGAGCAGAGGTCCATCAGTGGCTATTAGCCACAAGGTATAGATAGGGACTCTGGGGCAAGTGATGCTCTGTCATCTTGGTGCTTGGGGGGGGGGGTCAACAGTGGGAGGGCTTCTAATGTCCTGGCCCCACTGGTGGACCACCTGATGGCACTGGTATTTCTGGCCACTGTGGGATACAGAGTGTTGGACTGGATGGGCCTTTGGCCTGATCCAACATTAGCATCTCTTATGTTCTTATGTTCTTAATCATAGAGTTGGAAGGGACCTTCAGGGTCATCTAGTCCAACCCCCTGCGCAATGCAGGAAGTTCACAAATACCTCCCCCTTGGCACCGTGAGAATATTGAGTGTTGTGCACTCAATTGAGTCTGTTTTTCAGTGATATCCTTCAAGTTATTGGTTCCAATTTGATAAAGCCATATTGGTGAAATGTGGAGCATATTGAGGAAGCTGGCAATCCCGTAGTTCTTCTTTTGGAACCATTCAAGTGTTCCTCTTTTGGAACTGTTGGAGTAGATACCTTCTGGAAGTTCATTTTCTCCCTTTACACTGTGAAGCATATGCTCATTAGGCGAGACTTTGAAGTGCTTTGGATTTTGTGAGCCATATACAGGACTTATGTTAAATCATTTATGCCCTGATTACGAATTGTGTATTGTATGAAAAAATTTGCTTAGGATTTGGAAATTGTATGAATGGTTTATTAATTTGTCTATACATGAATTATTTGTTTATTATTATTACTGATTGATTGGTTTTTAAAATTGGTATTGACACCACACATGGTTAATTTCTTTGTGTTCACATATATACTGTGTGTTTCACTATTATATAACTTCACAGAATCAGCATTGCTGTCAGATGGCCATCTAGCCTCTGTTTTAATGTTTAGCCAGAAACTCTTTTGATTCAATCCATTGGATCTGATCCGACCTTCTGGGGCAAGAGAAAACTCTGTACCATCCTCTATATGACAGCCCTTCAAGTACTTGAAGAGGGTTATCATATCACCTCTCAGTTGTCTCCTCTCCAGACTAAACATACCCAGCTCCTTCAACCTTTCCTCATAGGACTTGGTCTCCAGACCTCTCACCATCTTGTCTATATCCTTCTCAAATTGCGGTGCCCAAAACTGAACACAATACTCTAGGTGAGGTCTAACCAGACCACAGTAAAGTGATACCATCAGTTCCCATGATCTGGACACTATACTTCTGTTGATACTGCCCAAAATCCCATTTGCCTCTTTAGCTACCGCATCACACTGCTGACTCATGTTCAGTGTGTGGTCTACTATGATCCCTAGATCCTTTTCGCACATACTACCGCCAAGACAAGTCTCCCCCATCCTATAATGATGCATTTGATTTTTTCCAACCTAAATACAGAACTTTACATTTATCCCAATTAAAATTCATTTTATTTATTTTAGCCCAGTTTTCCAGCCTGTCAAGATCATCCTGTATCCTGACTCTGTCTTCTGCCATATTTGCTACACCTCCCAGTTTGGTATCATCTGCAAATTTAATAAGCATTGCCTCTATTCCTTCATCCAAATCATTGAACAAAATAGGTCCCAGGACAAATCCTTGAGGCACTCTACTTGTCAACTCCTCTCCAAGGAATCATTTGTGATTGTGCCTTCAGTACTGCACTTCTAAGAAACTCCCATCCCTCTTGAACTCCCTTCTCCTTAAGTATTTCTGACCATGGGATTCTACCCAGCATAACTTTAAATTTGTCAAAATTTGCTTTCCTGAAGACCAATCTATATGTCTGACTACAAACAGCTTTTACCTTCCCCAGGACTGTAAATTCCAAAATTACATGGTCACTACTACCCAGGGTGCCCACTACTTTCACCTCATCAACCAGTTCTTCCCTGTTGGTGAGAATCAAGTCCAAGAGAGCAGATCCCCTTGTTTCCCTCTCCACTTTCTGGAAAATGAAGTTGTCGGCAAGACAAGTCAGGAATTTATTGGACCTTTAATTTTTAGCAGAGTTGGACTTCCAACAGATATCCGGCTAACTGAAATCTCCCATGACCACTGTGTCCTGTCTCTTTGTAATCTGTTCTAGGAGTGTCTCATCCAAATCTTCTGCCTGGCTTGGTGGTCTATAGCAGACACCCACCATAATATCACTATTCTTTCTTAACTCCTTTTATTTTTACCCAAAGACTCGCAACTCAACTTTCATGCTCAGATTCACATATTTCCTCACAAGTATATGCCTCCTTTACATATAATGCAACTTCTCCACCCTTCCTTATTTGTCTATCCCTTTTAAATACATTGTACCCCTCAATCCTAATATTCCAATTGTGAGTGTCATCCCACCAAGTTTCAGTAATGCCTATTAGGTCATAGTCTCCTTCCTGTATTAGGACTTCCAGTTCCTCCTGCTTGTTTCCCATACTCTGTGCATTAGTGTAAAGACATTGGAATCCATGTTTTATGCACCCTGAGGTTTTTGTTCCTGTAACAACCATAAGAAAATGCTTCCTGCCCCATTCTGCATGGCTCTTTGCCTACATGGGTCTCACAATCTCTGGAACTGTTGGGAACTAAAAAAACACATGGGTCTCACTACATGGGTCTCACAATCTCTGGAACTTTTGGGAACTAAAAAAACACCCCTTCTTCATGTGATCCAAAACCATTGTGAACGATGTTTAACTCGCACTTTTTTATTTGTGTGTCTGGAGGGTATTGCTTTTTGAGGGAATTTACAATCCTATCCACACTTACTTTGGAGTAAGGTTCCCCCCCCCAAGTTTATTTATAGATTTTCCGTTACAAAAAAGAAAATGTCATTTTGTACATAACATTCTTGGGAGTATATATTATACATTTTCCCCTATCCATTTATTTACTTTAGTCCACCTTTTCCGAAAAGTATTGCCATTTTTCCCTGCTAATATCATATTTACTCTGTCCCTTTCCACTATTTCAAGGATTTTTTCAATTATCTCAGCTCTTGTGGGTATTATATCCATCTTCCATTTTTTTGCTACTAGGATTCTGCTCACCGTGAGAATATATAGAATAATACATAGGTCATCTCTATTACTTACATCTGGTATTATATTAAGGAGGAAAGTTTCTGGAAGAAGTTGTAATTCTATGTCTGTAACCTCTTTTATCAGTTTTTTAACCATTTTCCAAAAATTACTTATTTTATCACACCTCCACCATGTGTGGTAATAAGTTCCTATGTTATTTTTACATCTCCAGCAGGTTCCTGATACATTCTTACAACATTTGGCTAACTTATCTGGTGTCCAGTGCCATCTATAGAATAATTTAAGTATATTTTCTTTATATGACGTAGCTCTTACAATTTTTACCGATTTCCACGTTTTTTCCCATTCCTCCGTTTTTATTGCATGGCCTACGTTTTGTTCCCATGCTATCATACAAGGCTTTACTGCTACCTCTTACATGGTGTCACCCAATAGAAAGTTATATAATTTTTGAATTTGTTTATCTGCAGATGACAACCATATCTTGTCCAAATCTGACTTTGATTTCGTAAATTTTGTTTTTTTATCTTTCGCAAATCTGGACTGCAACTGTATCCTTTCCCAACTTGTAAGGTTAATGTTCATTTCTTGTAAAATCTCAAATGGCTTCAGGTTTTTTTCTTTGGTTTATAGTGTTTCATATGTTGCACTCTTTTCTTTTGTCAGCAAAACTGGCATTATAAAGGCTTCTAATGGCGATACCCACATCGGTACCTCTTACTTTGGAGTAAGTTGAGTTTAGTTCTGAATAAATGAGCATAAAATCAGGCTGTATGGATAATAATAAGCATGTTATTAAAAAATCCCCTTGATCTTGAACACAAAAACCAGTGTGGTGTAGATGTTAGAGTGTTAAACTAGGACTGGAGATACCAAGTCTCAAAGCCCATAGAGTTCACTGAAGATCTTGGATCAGTCAGTAACTCAGTCCGACCCTTACTGTTATCTAGATAAAATGGTATTGGGGGTGAAAGGAGAGCCACATATGCAATGCTGTATTTGTTGGAGGAAGGGGTAGGATAAAATTCAAATAGATAAATGTGTACATAGACTCTTAGTTGCTTCTGCCTATTAGCAAGTCAATCCCATTGACATCTACTCTAAATTCCTATTCAAAATGACTGGCTGTCCATTACTCATTTAGGATGAGATCCAGACCACAGCGCGGCACAGAAACCAACAGTGGTTATGCCAGAGTTTTTCAGAGTTCTGCTTTGATAGCACCACTTATGTTTCAGCAGGCTTATTTGAGTCATCTAGCAACGTGCTTTGCTTTGTTCTAGCCATCTCTGTACTTTTGAAAATGCAGTGAAATTCCAGTGATCTGGTTTCAGACTCTTTAATGAAGGTATAACTCAAACAAGAGAGTCAAGCGATCAAACTGAAGACCAGGTGCTTTTTGGAGTGCTCATGTGATTTCTCTGATGTGGTGCAGTGGTTAGAGTGTCAGACTAGAAATGAGGAGAGTTTTGTTCAGATTCCCATTCAGCCCTGAAACTCACTCAGAGTCTTGTCTGTCTCACCTACAGAAAATTGCACAAGTCCACACTGGTGATCTCCCAACATGTATTCCTCATCTGGATGTTTTACCCCCTCCCCTGCATTACAAAGATACACATCTTCCTGCAATTGTCCTGGCCAGAAAGTTGTATTCCCCTGTTCTTCCTTCAATCCCAGACTGTTCCCCAATAGTGTTGTTATTAGTGTTGTTATACGTTTTATATAGCCACTAGGAAAAAGGCCCGTTGTAGAAATAAATACAACAATCTCTAGAAAGAGGCTTTGTGCAGGTGCCCCGGCCTTGAACACTCAGTGTCAATTTACTGTGGCGACCTCAGCAGGGTATAATGATACTGAGTCCACCATTTTATCCAGAGGAACTGATCTCTGCTACCTAAAGAACAGTTGTAATTCTCAAAGAAAACAATGAACTAGATAAGATATGGCTATCAACGAGTGATAAGCTAATACAAAAACTATATAGGTTTCTTCTAGAAAGATACATGGAAGGTGAGATGGTTAAACCTGTTATGTTAACTTGGATGAGGGATATGGGCTACATAATAGAATTTGATGATTGGGACAAAATATGGAAGACAATAAAATTCTTAGGATCAAAAGCCTATTAAAAAAATATTTATAAAATGTTCCATCGATGTTTACTGGACTCTAGATAAAACGGCTAAATGTACCCCTAAAATATAAAAGAATTGCTGGAAATGTAAGAACAATGTAGGAACATTTATACATATGTGGTGAAATTGCGGCAATATGCAAAAATTTTGGAAAATGGTTCAACAGATGATATGGGAGATAATGAATTTAAGTGTAATTTTGGTACCAGAAATATATCTGTTAAATGTTATCCCAGATAACCTTGACCAAAATGGTAAATATTTACTAACATATATATTAACAGCATCAAGAATTATGGTAGCAAAATATTGGAAAACAGATAAATTACCTTCCAGAATGGAAATAGCTAAAAAATTACTAGATGTAGCAGAATTAGATAAATTAACAATGATATTACATGGAAAAGAAGAAGCAATATTTCAAAAGAAATGGTTAAGAATGTACAAATGGTGGGAGAAATTTACTGTGTATAAGACCTCCAAAAAATGAATGTAAAGGTTGAAAATGTCTGTGGTTGTATAATATAAAACTTAATAAACAGAGTATTAAAAAAAAGAACTGTTGTAATTTTGAGTGATCTCCAGCCCTCACCTGGAGATTGGCAATGATAGTTCCCCAGAAGGGAATGGTTGGTTTGGAGGGTGGAGTCGAGGTCCCACGCCTCCTGAAACCTCACCCTCTCCAGGCTCCATCCCTCACATCTCCAGGAATTTCCCACCTGGAGTTGGCAACCCTATCTCCTTCCCAGCCAATCATCAACCTACCTTTATTTCCCCCTCACTCTTCAGCTTTCCACCCCCCCACACACACTTGCAGCCCCCACCGTGCTCTGAAGCCCTGACTGCCACATAACCTTGGCTGTCATAGGGGGGCCAACTCAGCAGGGTATAAGGACACAGAGTCCACCATTTTCTCCAGGGGAACTGATCTCTGCCATCTGGAAAGCAGTTGTAATTCTGAGCTATCTCCAGCCCTCACCTGGAGATCGGACACATTTTACCTCAGAACAGCAAACTGTTTAGAATGTTAGAGGCAAAAGCCAATCAAGTCGCATATGCAAACGACCTCCGAATTCTGAGGCAGAGGCCAATGAGGCTGCATATGCAAATAACCTCTGTGTTCTGACTGGCTATGGGGGGGAGACGAACAGCAAACTG